CAGAGAATTCATTTTTATACCCATTTGAAGATATGATTAAAAAAGCATTATATTCAAGGTCCTTGTCAAAAATGTTGATGCGTACAAGAATAAAAGTACTTTTTAAAGGACATACTTGCATAGTCTAAATCAGTGTTTTTCAACCTTTTTTGTGCAAAGGCACACTTTTTTCATGAAAAAAATCACGAGGCACACCACCATTAGAAAATGTTAAAAATTTTTAACTCTGTGCCTATATTGACTATATATAAAGTGTTTTTCCCACGGCACACCTTACACTATGTCACGGCACACTAGTGTGCCGCGGCACAGTGGTTGAAAAACACTGCACTAAAGCATACACAAAAATGAAAAATTGCATACAGGCCTCAAAGGGTCACTATCTCCAATATACACTACATAAGCATGACAAAATAAATAAATTCAAAGTTATACCCACATATATTCTATGACACGGAGGAACAACACAGACTAGTTTGGATGTATGGCGAGATGTACATGGACGTACATGGCCTACCCAACAAAACTGTTAAATCTGGAAGTCCTGCTAGAAATCCTTCGAAACCCCCTCCCAGAGGGGAGCTACCGAATCAGACCTTAAAGTGGGTGACTGGGGGTCTCTAACAATGCTTTGAGCTCTTAACCCATAGCTCTTATAAGCAGCATCCTGAATAACAGGAAGGGAGCTTCCTATAATATTCTCCGTTGTCCTCACCACTCTCTGTAGGGACTTTCTATCTTAGGTGCTGCTGCCACCAAATGAAACAGGATTGTGGTTTGTTAAAACACTCTCCGTCATTCCTCTGTAAAAAAAAAAGTAATCCTGAAACTGTATCCTCTTTTCCTCCCTGCAGAGACCACCAGCAGCAGCACCTCCACATTCGAGGTACCCCCCACCACCAGGATCTACGACTCAGAGGAACAAAGCAGAGATGAAGCCGTGTCACCTTCTGTGGTCCCAGGTCTGGTCTTGGTGGCATTTGCCCTTCTCTTAATCTAGTGAGTATCTCATCTAACAAGAGTTTTCCCAGGGTGGGGAGAGGGTTCAAGGACAGACCGAGAAGGTCGGATGCAAAGAGAAGAGGGGGCCACGTCAGGAAGGAACCGCCGATGGCTGCATGACATCCGTAGATCCTGCCACTGACATTCAGAATCAAAATGGCCGTCTTTTGATGGAGCCGGTTTTCAAATAGTGGTGGTGATGGTGTCTACAACAGCCAAGATGAGCGGGGGAGGGGAGCTCTTTGAGGAGGACATCCTCCAAAAATAGATCCCCAAAGGAAAGATAATAAGTCCACAGGAAGTGGAGCTTCTATTGTGAGGTCACCATCATCTTGACCTTCCGGCATGCATTCCTGATAAAATGTCCTCCCCACCTATTGAAGGATGTCCTCATCACCTCTGGAAAGCCTCCAGGAGTCTCCCCCCCCACCCCTAATCCTTCATGTTCTCCTTCCACTCCGAGAGGAACCCAAGGTAGGAGAACATCATAGGTGGCTTCCACAGCCTGCCTGCCTTCTTCAGGAGTCCCCTCTGGGTCGGTCCCCACCTTGCTTTCCAAGGTCACCTCAGTGGCTTTCTTCTCCTCATCCCTTTATCCACCTGAGGGACCCCCACTGGTTGCCGCCCAGCCTAGCCCCATCTGGAGGCCCCATGGCTGAACCTTCTCTCTTCTCTAATTGGGGGCAGCTCTTCATTTGGAGATCTGTGATCCCCGCGGGCTGGAAAGCTGTGCTGGAGGAAGACCGCCGTGGAATCATCTCCTGGCGACCTCCAGGTCTCTTGGGAGCCCTACAGATGTGGCAGGGCTAAATCCACTAAGGCAGGGGTCTCCAACCTTAGCAACCTTGGGACTTGTGGTCTTCCTCTCCCAGAATTCCCAGAGTTAAGGTCCCCAAGTCGTAAAGTGACCAGGGTTGGAGACCCCTGCATTAAGGGGTTTCAGGGCATCTGGGAATAATGAAGGGTTAGAGGGTCACTAGGGCAGTTCCTGGGCTCTGGGGTCCTTCGTTGGCTGTCACAGCTTACGTTTAAATGTCTTGTGGCCCACCAGTGGCCAGCACAACTGGCAGCAGATTCGGACGGTGAGGAGGGTTGGGGAAGAACCTGGGCCGGTTCTGGAGTCTGGGGAAGGCTCTGATGAGGGCTCTGTGTTGTAGGCAGAGAGGGGGCCAGAGCCGTATGCCAGTTATCAGCTGCCTTCAGAGTCGGAGATCAGTGGGGCAGAGGAACAGCTGGAGCCTGTTCCCAGTGTGTGCATGTGCAGAGTGGCCAGACGAAGGGAACAGATAAAGAACAGGGGTCGACTTGGGAGTAAGGCCACAGGTGGACGATGAATGGCCCCTCCCAGAGGGAATAAAAGAGGAGCGAAAGGGGAGTGGAGTTTGCAGGAGACCATGAGTTCCCTTCATTGGTTCGTGACTCTCCGAGACTCCAAGTTCTGCAGAGATCGGCCTGGCAGCCCTCCAAGCCAGATAAGGTCTGTGACCGTAAATCCTCCCTCGAAAGACTTTGCTGGATGTGAAGGAGCAGAATTCAGAGTCAATTAACGAAAGGGGTTTTTGTCGGGACCAGGAGTTGGCTTCAGGCTCTCGAGACGCCTCGGTCAGAACAGAATGCTGGAAGGACTCCTCAGCCCATGTGCAGATGCTCTCGACTCTGCTTAGCGTCCAATGATTGTTGCTGTGAATTCAGATTGTCTTTGGGGCTCGAGATTTCATTATGCAGCCGGTCCTCGCCTTAACAATCCTTCATTTAATAACTGGTAAAAGTTAGAACAGCACTAGAAACAGGGACTTACGACCGTTTTTCACACTTACGACCTTTGCAGCATCCCCATGGCCACCTGATCCAAATTCAGATGCTTGACAGCTGACTCATATTTACGACGGTCGCAGGGCCCCGGAATCACGTGATCCCCTTTTGTGTCCTTCGGACCAACAAGGCCAATGGGGGAAGCTGGATTTACTTAACAACCATGTGCTTAACTTAACCACTGCAGTGATTCACTTCTTTGGCCAGAAAGGTCACAAAACGGGGCAAAACTCCCTTCACCAACATCTCGCTTCACAACAAAAACGTTGTGCTCAATTGTGGTTATGAGCCAAGGACTACTTGCCATTTATCCTGGGTCTTCCGGCAAAGTTTGTGTCCCGTTGTTGCTCAGGTCAGAAATAACCACTGTAGGACTCCCCCCCCCCCAAAAAAAAAACCAGCATCTGAGGGTCCCTTTTAAAACAGCCCATGTTCGAAATGGTATCCAAAAAAGGAATGAGCCAAGAATGAAGAGAGAAATAGTAGGAAGCGGAAAAGAGAAATCCTGGGGAGGGTTAACCAAACAATCCATGGAAGAGAAATAGAAAAGATTCAGGAGAAAAGACATAATACATATAAAAAGGGAGAAAAAGAATCTAGGAACAGGGGATTAGTAGAATGAAATGAAATATGTTAATCCCGGTAATGATATGTAGCTAATTAGGATGGGAGGGAATTATATCAACATTATTAATTGTGGAAACGAATTAAGTAAAGTGCTTTATTATATGAAAAGCTGAGTTCGAAGATATATCTTACCTGTGGAAAATAGATGGAAAATGAAATGGCAACTTTGGTTTTATTTCTGAAGGGAATAAATAATGACATTGTCTAGGTGTTAAGAAAAAATTGAGTCTAAGGTGGAAAACAGGGGAAGAAAATAACACGGCTAAAATTGGAAATGGAAATATAACGCAAAATGAATTATGCACACAGGTGAGAATGTTAAAGTTGGGGAACCGGACTTTGTTTACAAAAGAATTTTAAATATGCAACAAGAAATAAAAACAAATGTTTGCAAAAAGGAAAAGGCCCATGTTCCCCAGCCTGGCACCGAGGCATCCTTTCCTCCTCTCGCCCTCCTTCCGGCCTTGGGGTCCCTTGTGAAGCCCCCACCCTCATCCGCCCGACCGCCTGGTCCTCCCCTCTGTTTTGCTGATGGTTCTCTCTGCTTCTCCCCATGGCTTCCTCGCTTCCTGGAAGGACGAGTCCTCGGAGAGCCAGGCATCCCCGGATCCCCCCCTCCGCTCTTGCCCACCCACCACAACCTGCCCCGGACGGAGCCAAGGACCTCTTCGCACCAGGCGATGGCCAGCCGGTGGGGACACGAGGAAGCCGCCCTCCGCAGCGCGCCAGGGAGGAGCCCCCCCACCCACCGAGCCTTGGGCTCGGATCATACAGCTAAGCCACCAAGCCAAAGATGCTTCCTTCGGCCGCCAAGCAGGACCCTCCAGCGTGTGGACAGGGCAGCTCTGACCGGGGGCCACACGGGGGCCACACGGAGCTGGGAGGTCTCCCCTCTTCTGAACTGTGAGCGGATGAGCCTCGGCCGAGCAAAACAAGGAAGTTGTGGGTAGCCCCCCCCCAAGACCCTCTCTGGGGACCCCAAGACTTCCATGGTGGAGAGGGGGGGTCTTTTTCTGCCTGCACTGACACCATCGTCACCGAAAGATGGGGGCTGTTCCTGGACCAACCCCGACGTCCCCCCCCCCCTCTTTGTAACGGAGTCCGTTCAGTTTATACACGAATTGGGGGTTTCTCTACTGCTCTTATTACCAGGGGTGGGTGGGGGGTTGGAGGGTGGGATCCACACTGGGTGGGGTGGGGGGTCTGTAACTAAGCCGAGACACCCCACCGATCCCCCGCCAGTTCACCCTACTCCCCCCCCAAACCCCTGTTTTGTAACGCTCCCCTTCTCTCCTGCCCCAGACCCACTTCTGCCCTCTCTCCTCTGTTGGGGTGCAGCATTTAAGACCGTTAAGGGGCCCCCCTACACCCACCCAGCCCTCGAACGTTCGCTGTCTTTGAACTTTTTATAGATGTACATAAAGATTTTAAGACTCAACGTGCACACAAACACACAAACACACACACACCGGAAGGGGAGGGGAGCCCAGCAGAGAAGACACTCATTAAATGTGACCATTTCATTACAACTGTGGGGGAAGCTCCCTCTTTCTGCCGCTTTCCATCTCAGCCGTCTGCGGGAAGAGGGGCTGTGGGGGGGTGGGTGAGAATTGTCCACAAAGGATAGGATTTGGGCACAAGGATGTTGCGGGCGGCTAAGTCAAAAAAGTCAAGATGGCGACAGCGGCAATGTGGTCACGATGCCAATTATTTTCCAGGAGCAACGCAGGCCTCCGATATTTTGGACAAGAATGTGGGATATTTTTTTTCCTGCTTAAGCTACCCTGGAGCCATTGGGTGGAGATTTTATTGCACTTATGGTTTTTTTTTTAAATAATCTTTTTATTTGGCAAACCTTGCATCATTAATCAGTGCGTCATCATCTTACAACTTTTTGTGTCATCATATTTAACGTTTACTATCATTTTTAATACATTTTTATCTGTCCATTTACCTTTCCATTTCAATTACATTTCAATTCAGCTTCTTCCCTGCTTTCCTTCCCAATTTCTTTAACTTCATATCTCTTTTTGCCTATATTCATTTTCTATCCAGCGATAGAATCTTCCCCCATGTATTATAATACTCGGATTCTCCCTTCCCTTTTATTACCAATGTTAATCTATTCATTTCTGCACAATCTAATATTTTGTTAATCACCTCTCCCTCTGAAGGGATTTTTTTTCCATTTTCCAATTTTGTGCAACTGCAGTTATGTTTATGTGACCCAAAAACACACACCCTTGCTGATGGGGGGGGCGCAGTCTTGCAGGGGGGTGTCTGCATCTCAGAGGGATGAAGGACAAGGGGGGCCTCCAGGCCTGTTTCTCAACCTGGCATTCGAGAATTGAACCTGGACTCGATCTGGAGAAAGCTGCTTGCAGGTTGAGGTTCTCAGTTTCCGTCTCCTGCTGGATTCTGGATGTCACATTTGGCAGCTGGAAGCTGTTTCGGTAAAAGAGAATATTGGTGCCTCAGGGTTGGACTTGGTGCCCTCTGAGCTGGTTGTTTTCTTGCAGACATTTTATTACCCAACCAGGTAACGTTAACAGTGCTGGGAGGGAGGGAGCTTTGCAGGAAGGAGGAGGATGGGACAGAGAGGAGGAGGAGGAGGAGGAAGACTTGGTTTTGTCATCGTAGCTTGCTTGCTGCGACATTTCACAGCCCAATTAGGGAACATCATCAGTGCCAGCAGGGAGAGGTGTAGAAGAGATATTTCTGAATAGCTTGTTAACTAAAGCCAAGGCTTCACAATCTTGGCCACTTGAAGAGGGAGGAATATCCCCAGAATTCCCCAGGCAGCCAAGGAAGATTCTCAGTGGATTCTTTGGGCTTTTCCCACAGCTGAGTTGATGCCCTTCCCAGCTTCCGTCCTTCGGTCCTTGGCCGTTGGGGGGGCGGGGGAAGCCCCTGGTCTGGACCCCTCTGGCCCCAGCCCCAATTACCCCTCGCCTGCCTCCGCTGCTCCTCTTCCCAGGCCACGGAGCCCTCAACCTTCCCCAATGCAGGGGTGGGGAGGGGGGGAAGGTTTGGCAGATTTCACACACTTTGCAGACAGGAAAATATGTTTTTAACAGATTAACAGAGTTGGAAGGGACCTTGTAGGTCATCTAGTCCAACCCCCTGCCCAAGCAGGAGACCCTGAGAGATGGCAGTCCAGTCTCTTCTTGAAAGCTTCCAGGGAAGGAGCTCCCACAACCTCCGAAGGCAACTTCTGTTCCATGGGTTGATTGTTCTCATTGTCAGAAAATTCCTCCTTGTTTCCAGGTTGAATCTCTCCTGGTTCAGTTTCCATCCATTCTTCCTTCTCTGGCCTTCAAAGGGGCTTTGGAAAATAGCTTGACCCCCTAACTCCTCTCTGGGGCAGCCCCTCAAATATTGGAAGATGCTATCATGTCCCCCCTGGTCCTTCTCTTCCCTAGACCAGCCAGGCCCAGTTCTTGCAACCGTTCATGGTATGTTTAAGCCTCCAATCCCCTCATCATCCTGGCTGCTCTCCTCAGCATCCCAAAAGATGATTCAAAGCTGCCATGATCTTAATGTGAGAATGGGACCCAGACATTTTCACGGGGACACCGCATTAAAAAATTGCATGGGGCTAGGACTGTGATGGCAAATCTATGGCACCCATACCACAGGTGCCAGGCGGAGCCATATCTGCACGCACATGCAGGCCAGCTGGTTTTGGGGCTTCCAGGGGGCCAAGAAAGGCCATTCCCTCCCCCCTTCCCAGGCTTCAGGGAAGCCTCCAGAGCCTGGGGAGGTGGAAATGACCTCCCCCCCTCCCCGGAGGAAGTACCAAGCCAAGCTTAGAGGCGAGCAGTGCGACGTGCTTGGAGGGGAGCGTGTGTGCGTGTGCATGCATGCACATGTGGGGGCGCACTTTGCATTATGGGTGCCAGTGTGCTATCACACGCGCATTTTGACACCCAACAACGAAAAGGTCAGCCGCCCCTTGGCTAGGAGGATCTGACTCCAAGGGAGGGGCCCTTCCCCTTTGACCAACCTTATCTCCCCCCCACCAGAAGCCCCCACTTCCTCCTCCTCCTCCTCCTCCTCCCTCGTGCTCAGGGGTTTTCTCCAAGGACCTGGAGGCCTCACACAGGCTGCCTTTAAGGGCCCCGCTGATGGCTCAACCCTTCATTAATATTTCCTTCGCGCTGAAAACACCTGGGGATTATTGATGCGCTAATGGTCAATCCGTGTAAATCCCAGGAGCCCAAGGGATTGAGGGCACGAGAGACGGACGGACGGCGGGTCCTTGCAGAGACCAACCCAACGCTCCCGGGATTCGAACGCAGGCCAGATGGCAGTGGCTGCCCTCACTCACCCAAGCGGGTCTCGAACGGGACGGGGGATGGGCCTGTTTCGTTTTAAATCGTTTACACTTATGATACAGGTAGTCCTCGACTTATGATGTTCGTTTAGTGGCGGTTCAGAGTTTCACCGCCACTGAAAAAAGTGATTTCGAGAGTTTTTCACACAACCATTGCAGCATTTCCCGTGGTCGCGTGATCAAAATTGACAACTGATTCACATTTACGACGGTCGTGGCGCCCCAGGGTCACATGGGCCCCTTTTGCAACCTTCTGGCAAGCCAAGACAAGGGGCGGAGACGGATTCACTTAACAACCATGTTACTGAACAGGGAAGCTTGTAAAATGGGGCAAAACTCACTTAAGGACTGTCTCACTTACCCGTAGAAATGTTGGGCTCCGTTGTGAGTTGAGGACTTTTCTGTCTCCACTTTGAAGCCCCAGAATAGCCGGAAGAGCCCGCTGTGCGCATGAAGGGGGGCTGGGCAACTGTTTTAGACTTTCTTAAGCCTTATTTGTGCCACTGGAGGAAAAAACATCTTGCAAAAAAGGGGTCCGTGTCTACAAAAAAAATGAAGAGAAATGGGTGCACTCTGAGCATTTCCAGCTGAATTTGTGAACAATTTGTCCTGCATTTGCTGAGAAGAACCCTTGGGTCAAAGCAGGGAAAATGGAATTATTCTGGTGGCCTCAGTTGACCCCTTGTAGCTCTTCTAAGCTGTGCAGGTTTTCTCCAGGAGAACCTAGACCAGCATTTCTCAACCTCGGCCACTTTAAGAGGCATGGACTTCAAACTCCCAGAATTCCCCAACAGAACTGGCTGGGGGATTCTGGGAGTTGAAGTCCATGCCTCTTAAAGTGGCCAAGGTTGAGAAAACACTGGGCTAAGCAGGAAGGCTTTCAAAGACAAAGCAGCTGCCTCCAAGCCTGGAGAAGTTGCTTCCAAAGGAGTGGAGATGCCAACAGGCATCCAAGACTTGAGCTGAACTATGAATTGGAGGAGGGGCTTCAGGCAGAGGGTCTCTTCTTGGTCCCAGAAGTGGCCACTGCCAAGCATGGACCCATAAGTCTTTTTCTAGGAACTTTGGAGGGAGTGAAATGGAGAGGAGAGATGAGTTGAGAGGAGATCCTGGCTTCAGAGGGAGGACTAGATGTTGAAGATGCAGAAGAAGAGAGGAGGAGGCCAGAGGTTACGTGAAGAAGCGCTAACTCTCCACTTTGGAGGGCTGATGGTCAAATCCAGAGGTCTCCAAACTGGGCAACTGTAAGACTTGTGGACTTCCAACAGCATGGCTGGCTGAGCAATTTGGGACATGAAATCCACAAGTCTCCAAATTACGAAGCTTGGACACCCCTGGATTAGAAGGACCACCGGCATTTCCACTCTAGAGACCATCAGTCTGTGCTAAGAGGAGGCTAATGAAGAAAGTGGACACCCAAGTTTCCGAGGCCATTTCAAGGCCAACTTTGGTGGACCCAGGAGCTCAGATGCTTCCCCATGAGAAGGCCACTTTTGCCTGTTGGCCAATCCTCACCCCAACCTTGGAAGCCAGGAGGCAACTTTGGAGTCTCTCACCTGCCCACCAATAGCATGTGCCAAGGATTGGGGGGGGGGGGGACTTGTCCCTGCCCCCTCTGGTTTGGAGGCTAGCGGTGGGGATGAGCGTTCGGTCCATGCGGACAATCAGGTGGTCTTCAGAGGGGGCTCCATCATTCCATAGCTCAGCCTTTTCCAAGGTGGCCCCCCTGAGGGAC